TATTAAATTATGTACACCGCTTCGGGGTTGCTTTTAATGCAACTCCTGAGCCACTGCTTGGAATTTTTTTAATGATTTCATTTAACATTACCAACCTTTGCCTTGGATCTGCATAGCATAGATCCAACATCCAGCACTGTCAACATATTCCTATTTACTGTAAGGTGATCGGCAGCATGAACAGGATTAAAAACAAAGCCTGTACGCTTTGATGAAAATTGCCTAAGAAGTTACTTTACCACAATTTCTATAAAGAAGGGTTGGTCTGGATGGAATTATCCAGGTAATATTGTCTAGACGCGATCAAGGACACAATGGAAATTCTTCGGAAATTTAAGATGATCTATCTTTGAACCAAAAGTTTAGTAGGTTTAACGTCCTCTCCTAATGGTAGTGATAATCAAAAAGTTGTTGCCAATTAGAAGAATCTCAATTTAACAAATTAGTAGAGGTCTCTGAAAGAACTAAATACAAACTGGCCAATATATTCAGACGCGAAGAAACACTTGAATGGAATTGTGAAAGCAGACTGCTGATACCGATACTGCCTCATTTATACTATGCAATGATTAGTGGGACTATTGAAGTTCACACAAAGGCTTACGGGAATTTTATTGGTTCGATAAAAGGAAAAGGCCGACATCAATGCAATATGTAATATCTGTATTTCTAGTGCATGGATGAACCTTCTCTTCAGCTCAAGTTCAGCGCCCAATAAAAAGAGTATGATACTATTCTGCATAGTGTGAGTGCCACAAGTAAAGGAAGCAAATCAACTTAGTAAGCGTGTATTCAAGTTATATGTCTTAACAGAATGAACACAAACAGAATAACTCACCAACTTTTGTGTGCTGGAAACTCTCAGGGACCACGAACCGTGAAGTTGATTCGTAGAGACAAGCTTCGAAAGCCAGGTTTCGAAATACGTCTCCAGACTGAAGAACAAACACACAACCAGGAAACATTTCACGCAAATCGCTTTGCCTTTGATTTAATACGCTTGCTGAAGATGAATGAGCCTCGCCACAAATGTTCGCCACAATCTTACTCCGAGCTAGTAAGATGGAGTGGCCAGCAATTGCACTTCTGAACTGATACATCAGCTGGAAAAGCAAAGATATTAAAAATTATTTATGTAATATTCGCACACACTTGTATTTATCATGAAAGAAAGCATCGAAAATATTCAGAATAGGAATAGTGAAGTAGAACCAGCTGCCTGGACAGTCTTGTTACAACTAAAGAAGATATCAGTTAAATCAGTCCAAAGTGAAGCTCAGTTTCATCGACTATAATCATGTCTACTCGGCCTTTCAATTAGGTAATATCTCTCAATTGCATAGACAGAACAGAATAGAGGCGTGAAATTCCAGTGCCTAAGCAGGAGTAGTCTACTAACTTTCCTACCAAATGTTTTCTCGCTGTGTCCACTTTTATGTGGCAAAAATATATTAAAGTTGTTTTCGCAACTTGGTGATATTGGTAGGAAGACTTAGAAAAACGCATCTAGTCCGGAGTCCATGGTCCACGGTCCTACTCTGGAAATGATGATACATACAATGGACTCCGGACTAAGTGCGTTCCTCTAAGTCTTCCTACCAATATAAAAAAGTTGCGAAAACCAGGTTAAACAACTTCTATAAAATGAAAGGAGACGGCGACCACACAAAAGGCCACACCATCTTGGTCTGCATACCTTCGATTAAAAATATATTGAGTTTTCTTACATTCAAGCCATATAAAGTTATAGAAATCATAATACTAACCGTTTGTTCCTTGATTTTTACGTAACTTAGAATTTAACTGTCTAAACTAGCATCAATATGCGTTAAAACTGACAAATTTTTGGTGATTACCACTTGGGGTTGAAATTATTTCGTAAAGCCAGAAAACTATATCCCGGCAAGTCAGTACAATAAGATTTTTGAAAATTTGTATTTCACATTATGTAGTTACTAAATGTTGTATTCTTTGTAGACGTCCAGATTTACCTATTTCCACTAATAGGAAACTGGAGCATGTATCAGGTGGTTTGGTTAAGACTAGACTCAAAGAAAGTATAGACAAATTACATGACCTGATTAGAACCAAAACAAGGATTAGACTATCCCTTTCTCAGGAAGACTTTATTAAATTGCAGAAAATGGCGGACGGTTTGGTGGATAAGATGGATAAGATCCATAGATCCCGACATGATAAGAAATTAAGGAATTTAGGCATCAACATCAGCCAATGAAATCGTCGAAACAATAAGAAGGTAGTAAAACTTAGTACTATTTTTTCTATGAAAAGTCATGTGCCCTTTTATGCGGATTTAGTAGGACCTATTTGAACTCCCCGCTGGCTCTCTCCTCCCCACTGTGCTGGGAAGTGTTAATCCAAGTCTGTACACCCCCAGGTCCTAGCAGTCTATCTCTGGCCCCGTATGATCCATCTCTTATCTCTTTGGTTCAGTGATTTCAATCGATCACTGCCACCATATCCGTGCTACTCCAGGCGTTATTTCCCACACACGACCGCAAGCCCTTGAGAGTACGTAT